ATGAAAAGAATATTGAAGAAGCCGTTAGGCATTCAGATATAGTATATAACCTGATAGGGAGAGATTACGAAACAAAGTATAGGAATTCTGAATATATATATATATATATTTGATTGTTCAACCTGGTGATAAGAAGCATTCTTACCGATTTTATATTACATTTGATATAGTAATTATCCTTTTGAAAAGGTTCATGTCGAAGGGGCCGCTAGAATTGCAAGAATCTCAAGGGAAAGTGGTGTGGCGAGATTTGTTCATGTTTCCGCATTGAACGCTGATAAAAATTCAAAATCGAAATTCTACAGTTCGAAAGTAAGCGTTCTAGTTTCTACAGCACCCGTCACCATTCACAGTTTTTCGTATCATTGTATCATTGAAATCATAATTCATTAGGCTTTAGGTGAAGAGGCCGTGAGAATTGAATACCCGGACGTAACCATAGTTCGTCCTTCTGTAATGTATGGACATGAAGATAGATTTTTGAATAGATTAGCAGGTTTGCTACGCGGGGGATAGTGTTCACGCAATCCTGATTTGATTTACAATTGATGTAATAATTTCCCATTCATAGGAACAACTTACGAATATGCGCTCAACAAGGGATTGACCAGGACTCGTCCCGTATATGTACGTAATCAGAATATTTTTTAATTTGTTCACAATGTTAATACATTATTGAAATATTTGTTCACTGGGAAAAAAAAAGGTCCTTGACGTTGCAAAAGCTCTAGAGCATATGTTGAAAGATGAAAACACCATCGGAAAGACATGCGAATTATTTGGACCCAAAGAGTATACTTACAATGAAATATATGACCTCATCGACAAAGTTGTTGAGAATTACAGGGCTAGAATATTCGTGCCAAAGGGCTTAGCAATGTTAGCAGCGAAATTTTTACACCTACCATTTGTCTCATCGTATTCGACTGAGGATGTTGAGAGGTCATACATCAGCGATAAGATCACACCAGGTACCGAAAGTTTCGATGATCTAGGGATTGCCCCGAGCATATTGGAGGACCTCGCCATTTCGGTGGTGAGATTTTACAGAAAGAGTACTGTCTACGATGAGCCCATGTTTCAGGATAAGAATGTCGGCAAGGTTAAAAAGGGAGTATATTATACTGATTATTGATTGAACAATTGGTTAGACTTCTCTGGGAATTTTGGAATTTATGTTGACATATAGAAGAAAGGTGATTGTCATAATTTATGATTTTACTCGCTGCCAAGCATTCACAAAAATGTAAAAAAAAAAAACAAACAAATGCAATAACGGGGTCATCCATTTGCGTTCTAAAGATTTCACTTCGAATATTCTAGCTTAATTAATTAATCAAAGTAATAAATAATGTTAAGTGATTTCATTCTTTGAAACAAAGTCTAAGGGCATTCACGAAACACCAAAAAAAAAAAAAAAAAAAAACCAAAAATTCTTTTTTTCAAGAATCGGAAGAAAACGCGATAACTTTCGAATCTCTACATGGATCATTAGCTAGCATGTCTTCAGTAAATTTCTAAGAAGTTCCAAATCCTTTGACGTATTTAATACAAGTATTCTTTTTTTTTGCAAATCAACTACTACCTTTAATTTATTCATTGATTTCTTTAAATTCTTTAAATTTATGTTGTTTTCTTTACTTTTTAAAAACACGTGTGTCAATTTAAAACTAACACTAGATGGTTCGTATGTAAACTTATTTTTTTTTTTTTGCTTGTTCTATTAAATGGAATCGGACCCGTTAAAGCAAAACAGGTGATACGAATTAAGCCCTGATCTCACGAAAAAATTAAGGTGAGATTGACATTGACTTGATGTTTTAGTTGCGCGAATTTAAAACTTGTTAGATGAATTTTACTTTGTGGCGATCAATATTTGACAAGTAAAATCCGTTTTCATTGAATTGTGATTGTTAGCAAATTTCAGTGGATTTATTTATAAAAATGAAAGGGTAGAGAAAAAGTCTAAAGTGATAGTGCCAGCGGACAAGTAGCAGAATTAATGTCTAATGAGATTATATTATTTCAAGTGAATTTACGACTTTGAAAGTCGGCAGAGATAACATCCCTTCTTTACAATGTACAGTTTAATTATTGCAACATTTCTCGTAAGATACTCGAGATTGCTTCCAAGAAGGCGCCAAAACCCGAGGAAAATTTAATTCGTTCATTATGGATTAGAAATATACCCTCACCGCCTGGTTTATCATTGACTCATTTGGACAGTAAGGGCATTTGAAACGTCTAATATGCGTATTATATTATGTGTCAATGATTTTGAAATTTCTCCCAACTTAATCATATCAAACGACACTCACCCATTTCCCTTACTACTCAGTTTGTTTAGACTCTCTTTGCATATCACATGACCACAAGGCATCATCATTGGTGGATTTTCTTCTGTTGACTGTTCTTTCGAAACAGGACACGCGAAAATAGAGTGATAACGCATCTCGTCAGAGAGAGGAATTTCCACCTGTAAGGTCAGATCATTAAAAAAGAAGATCGAATTGGTAAGAAATATTAATTGACTAATTATAAAACGTGCAAAGTGGCGAGTTTTACCGGTAATTCTCCCTGTTGACTCCACTCATTCTTTTTTTCCTTCATGATCGTCGCCATCTTTATGATCGTAGGCAGAGCGGTGGCCCCAACAGTCACACTATGAAAATTAAGGATTCAATTCGTTGTAAGAATTTTAAATTTTTATACCACGAACAATCCAATCTATTCAATAAAATATTCGATGTGCCTTATATACAAGGGGCTGTCACATGACATCCCCAATAGATTGCAGAAATCGCGCGTAAATGCGAACTTTATATCGGTCCACAAATGTTCAGACAAAAGATCGACATAGGGTGACTTTGACAAATCACGAATATAGAGGAGAGCTCCCATCAGGCGATTTATTTCTAATGTGAGATGGATTGGAGTTTTAATGTATTCGATGATCTTCGGCAATTAATTAATAACATAAATAAAAATAATCGTACACACCATTCGAGTGTCTTTCTCTGAAATAGCTAAAGTTCGATCTAGCGTATTGCAATGCTTCGTAACGGCGTTTCTCCACAAGGTACTTGACATAATGAAGGCGATGTAGTTGAAATTCTAGAGAGCTTCCTCGACGTTCCAACGCATCACGCTGTGACCTCGCCCATCTGAAGTTAGACACCCGGAAAGGTATAAGAGTGCATAGACAATAGATTTTGGTGGATGTATCAATACACGGCCAGATTTCAACCTATCCTTGAAATCCTTGTGGAAAAAAAAATAGCTCAATAAAAAATGGATGATTTACAATAGAGCTGGCTCCAAATTTTGGTCATTTATAGCGTCTAATATTTGATACATTTGAACAAACTGCATCTGCAGAGAATCAGGAAGATCTAATCCAGTCTCCTAATGACAACGAAAATTTAATAAACAAACACTATTCACAAAAAAAAATTTTTTTTTTACCGAGACGGCAGATGAAGCCTTACTTTTATAAAGGTTTTTCCCAGGTTGAACTTTCCATGACGTATAAAGTGTAAAGCGACCGTCCTTTGGAGGACGACTTCCTTATTGACAAATGCCTCTGGATTACTGGCAATAGTTATATCTTGCTTCCATTTCTAATAATCCAAAATCCTAAATTTAACACAAAAATAAAGAGCAAGCAAATTTCTCACATCAACAACCACAGAAAACGATTCATTACCCGATCCACTATTTTTTCATATTTTGATACTACTTTTTGGAACTCCTTGTGTTCTTCCGAAGTTTGTGACGCAAAAAATTCGAGGGATCGGGAAAGATTCTGCAAATTCTCGTTTGCGCTATCAGGATCTATTAGAAAGCTTTGTTAACGTTCAAATTATTACGCAAATCTATGAAGGAAACGTGCTTTACCTAATCTTAGTTGACGCAAGGTCTCGTACAAAGTCTGAGTCAGCATGTCAATTTTCTCCACAGCTTTTGGAACGAGGTCATGTTGTTTATGTTCGACTTTTTTATAATCGATCTGGAAACTGCTTAAAATTCCTTCCATCGCAAAATTAGAGTTTCACCAAAAAAGCGAAGGTATGATTAAATTCTCCTTACTTGCATACAGAAAATTCTAGATCATAAATTGATCAACATTCGAATCGTGATTACACATCCACACACGTTAGTATCGTCCATTAAAGATGCTTTGCGCAAGTAAGTACTCTAGCTAGCTCCGAGAATTGTGAAGTTTGCCGTTTCAAGGGACTAACTAGAATACCTGGGATCAAAAAAAGTTTCCGGAGAGCCACCACAGGAACCAGTGGTTTCAAAGAAATCCGGTAACGTTTACGAGAAGAGATTGATCGAAAAGTATATCGCTGAATATGGAAAAGACCCCGTTAGTGGAGAAGAAACTAGTGAAGATGACTTGTTGGAAATAAAAGCAAGTAGGTGGTCGCTTTTATGCTTTGAAGAAGATAGGTCGAAATACAATTTTAGTATTTAATGGTTGTTTGGACAAATGATGATTTAACATAAATCAACTAGAAGCTGTTACTGAATTAAACTAGATGAAAATATAAATCTGAGTTTTTGATGAAAATTATGTGGTGTGGTGAATACTGGGTGATGGTCCACTTCTAAACTGTACGATCGATAAAATCAGGTCCAAAAACGGTCAAGCCTCGACCACCTACTCTGACATCAATTCCATCGCTACTGGCCGTCTTCCAAAACGAGTGGGATAGTTTGATGTTGGAGACATATACTTTGAAACAGCAGTATCAACAAGTTCGACAGGAACTAAGTCATGCTTTATATCAACACGATGCTGCATGTCGAGTAATCGCTAGACTGATAAAAGAGAGAGATGCTGCGAGAGAGTAAGTAAAGACACAGTTCAATAATAACTTAAATGTGATGGCTGACAAACGATTCGTCAATTGGATCATAGAGCATTGGCGAATGTTCAGGCACATATCAGCATTCAACCTCCTCCGGATGCAGCCGTGGCGGATCATCCGATGGAGGTGGAAGAGGAAACGAAGGGCATTAATGATGCGGTCATAGAGAAGTTGAATGAAACCAGCAAAACGTATGCATTTATTTATTCGTTTATCGATTTTCTATAGTTATGTTTTATGACATGGATTTTACTTTCTCTATTATCCTAGCTTATCGAAAGAACGTAAAAAGAGAAAGGCACAACCCAACCTCACTCCAGTTGATACAGTGAAACATTTCACTCAATTAAATGTTATCGGCTCTCTACACTCTGCCTCATCTCCCGGAATAACTTGTCTTGATCTTGACCAGACAGAGGAACTCGTGCTTACCGGTGGCAACGACAAAAAAGTATTAATATATAATTTACAAGAAGGCAAAGATGTATGCGTCCTAAAGGGTCACACGAAAAAGATCACTGACGTTTCATGGTTGGGAAGACCTGAAGGCGATCTTGGCGATGTGGCATTCTCCTCAAGTGTAGATAAGACTGTCAAAGTATGGAAACCCAATGAGAAAGGTAATATACTTTTATTATCAATATTAATATTATTACTATTGTTATTATTATTCTTGGTTATTAATAATTAACCAATTATTTTATTTGTCTATTTGTTTTTACCATCTGATTTGCTGAAACACATTGATTTTTAGGATACAAGATTGCTAGCACCATCAGCTCCCATTCGAGCGAAGTCACTGGCATTGCGGTTCATGCCACAAAAGATTATTTGGTGTCTGTGTCAAATGATTCGACATGGGCATTCCATGATATAGCGACTTCACAGACATTGGTCAAGATCGAAAGCAAAGATGTGAAAGATGGCATGTTTTTTTTTTTTTTTTTTGAAAATGAATTGCGACATGGATTTCAACAACTTTATTTAAATTAGGTTATTCAACCGTCGAGTTTCATCCTGACGGATTAATCTTGGGAACGGGAACAAACGATTCGGTCGTTAGAATCTGGGATGTAAAAACTCAACAGAATGTCGCATCATTCCCCGATCATACTGGTCGCGTTACATCAATCTCATTCTCTGAGAACGGCTATTATCTCGCTACGGCATCAGAAGATAATTTGGTTAAATTGTGGGATCTCAGAAAGCTATCGAATTTCCAAACTTTGACTGTTGACGCTGATGCGAAAGTTAACAAGGTGGCGTGGGATTACAGTGGTCATTATTTAGCTGTGGGCGGCACTGACGTTAGGTATGGATATAAATATAATATCTATTTTGTACGTCAATTAATATTCACTATTAATTTTTGTGCGACTGTCCTTATTATCAATAGAATTTATCATTCTAAGACTTGGAATGAACTTTCGGTTATTTCCGAGAATATGGCAGATATTACGGGTATGAAATTTGGAGAATTGGCGAAATATTTGATTGTGGGCGGATTAGATCGTTCATTGAGAATTTATGGATACGATCAATCCGAATAAACGAATTCCTCAACTATCAGTATTGAATTTTCTAGATTTGATTTCCTCAAAAAAAAAATATATATATATTAAAGTAATTTTGAATCGTGTATTTGCACGTGAAACAAGCATATTGTACGTAACCTACTGTAAAATGAACTATTTATATATAGTATTCGCAGTGCAATTTTATATTCATGTCACCTGTGAACTGAGCCTATACTGAGTGAAACCATTTTGAAATTAGAAACAAGAATTAGGTAGGATAATGATATGGGGTTTCGTATTTAATTTAGAAGCAAAAACAAAACGCCATTCGTTTGCGTCGGATTAATTCTTTTACTCCCGATATGGTACAGCCGCGCCATGTAGAATACTATTTATTAAATATTGATGCAAATAGACGTAATATTTTTCATTGAACAAGACCGAATTTACTTATCTAAACTCACGATACCCTCATATCCGATCCGGGCACAGGTTTCGCATATCTTAATTTCATGCACTGACATGCATCGCCATCCACCCCAAGCTGCAATAGTTTTTCCGTGACCATATCCCAAATTCTGACCAAACTTGTATCTTGATTGTTTTATTATTAATTTGAAGACTGGGAGATTTGACAGCAGAATGCAATCATGCCGTCATGGCATGATAAACATCTACGATGTTGCATGGACTTCAATATGATGACTAATTCATCTTTGCATATTATTATTAGTTAAAGGATTACACTGCTTAAAAAATATGAGGAGTCCATTAAGTTAATTCAGATTAAACAAAATAAAGTCTCAACTAGGTATTCTAAATCAGATTTGGAGAATAATATTTTATTTCTTTAATAAATTAATATTTATTTTTATCCATTAGGATTATTATTAACAATTTTTTTTTAAGTACCCGTAGCCATGCTAGATTGTTAATTTATTAATCAATTGAAAACATAAGTACATTTTCATTCAAGCAGCATGATATATACTACAGCTGAACTATTATTCTAATCTAACTAACTTATCATAAGCATAATAGCCTTTAAGTTCAGCCTTAGGAATAATATTTCACTTTACAGTGTCTTTGGGTGAAAATCCTCCTAATCCATTGTATCATTGCCAGCAGGTTATCACTGCTGTATATCTCACAAAGCCGCTGAAATACAGGAAACTACAAAAAGATAAGTTGAAAAAAAGAAAAGGGAATATTTAAAAATGTCTAAATAGACAACAAGAAAATGAAAAGATAAAAATTAAAAAAAAAATTTTTCAACTTCTTTCAAAAATCTGTTTCTCAAAGATCTCTTCTCAATAAGTAATATTTGATTAAAATATCCTTTCTTTTCTAACTATCTGAGAAACTTATCCATTCTTGATCTTAATTTTCTTTTC